TGGTTTCACATACATACATACGGCAGGAAATGTGGGGGGATTTTCACGCAATAGCTTCGATGCTTCTACCTGCCTCTGCTTGCTTGGATGATTGCCTCCATCCAGAAGCTTGTCTGACCGCTTCTGAGGCGTGCCTGCGCATGACTTTGCAGCGTAAGTTGCCATGGCTCATGTGCCTGCAGGCTGTCCCCTGCAGCCACTGCGAGGACGCCGCGGCACGCATGCAATCATAAACAAGAAAAATCCCACTTAAGAAGAGTTTTAGCTGCCCTGGGTTTGGAATCTGAACCAATTTTGCGACGTCATCGAGACGAAAGGACACACCCCTGCGACAGTGCGATCGAAAATCGCAACAACCGAGAAACTGAAGATGAAGGCGTAAGCAGACAGCCAAGGCTGATGAACCCCAGTCCATCTTTGCCACGCCTTGCCTCCCAGACATCCCTGCCAAGCTCCTCGTTTGCAACTGGAGTTTAGGACCGTTTAGGAGCAGAAAGCATCCTGACACGAGCAGTCCGCAAACAGCTCCGGTTTTAGATGTCTTGGTTGCCTCTGGCTGGGTCTGTCATTGCAAGCTTGCCCGACTGCAGACATCAGACGTCGCCGTGCTTCACAGTATTCAGACGTCGCCGTGCTTCACAGTATGCGGGTTCTTTTTCAGGGCGTGCCGCCTACGTTCTGCGAGTTCCAAAGGTTGTGACGGTTGTGGTCCGTTACGTTCCGGTCAACCAAGGCTTGTATGCCGAGCGGGGCGACCTGCAGAGAAGGCTACCCATTGGTATGAGCGAATATTAGAACACTTGCAACATCTTGCAACCAATTCCCTTAGACCCTTAGACGCGCTCCCGACCTCCACAGGCCGGGCACAGTGCGTCTGCCTGGACCCTCAGCGTTGCTCCAATCCGGGGTTCCGCCGGAGAGGCTGGGACACTTGAGGGTTAAGAGTGTGCTCAGTGTCCTCTTGACGTGGTGTTGCCGGAAGGCTATCCTCATGTGTGGTCTACAGACAACAGTCATCCTATTAGTGCACCTATCTCTGTCTTCTGTCTGAGTGCGTGGGCGCGTGCGCGCGTGTGGGCACCCCGTGTGCGCGTGTGGTCACGTGTGCGCGTGTGCGCACGCAGTCCTGCTAGTCAATCACAACCCCCGTCCCGCACAATTGAGTCACGACAAGGATCGTGCGGTAGCTGTGGCACGAGCGGAGCCTCGCCACGAGATGGCCCATGCTCTCAAGCTAAACTTGAACTCGCTTGAAGTCCTATCACTGAAAGCTGCCAAGGTTGCACAGTTCCGCTTTGCATGTCTGTGCTTGACTGTGGAGGTGGGGCATAAGTCTCGACCAGCTTGACGAGATAGATGCCCGGCCGTGGTGGTCAAGGGTCATGAAGAGGTTTAGCAAAATGGGGTTCACACCTTGTGGTTGGCAGTGGGTACCAGTAGAGTAGAAGGTCGAAGTGTACCACTCTTGTCACATTCCGAGGAGAACGAACGGGGCTTCTCGGCAGAGTTCTCCACCCGGGAGGCGATCACTTGCGGGGACGCTGGGCAGCTAGCACCCGATAGCTTTATGAGTATGTTAGGCTTGCAGTGTTGCTTCTGCGGTGGGTTTCTGTGTCCGAGTAAGGGTGGTTTGCTTGGTCACCAAGAATGTTTCTCGTGTCCTTGCTGCTTGCCAGCTTTCCACCAGAACAATGAAAGGAGGGTAAGATGACATGAAGTGAGTCGAATGACGAGGATCCCCTTCCCTTAATCTTGTGGTTCCCATTCCTTTTGTCCTTCCTTCGTAGTTCTTGATTTCTCGAGCAAGAGAAATGAGGAGGAGCACAGGGCCCCTTTCGACCGCTCTTTTCGTATCTTTCGCTTTCTCTTTTCCTTTCTTATTCTTAATTCTTACTTGTGTTCTTTCTTTCTCTCACTTTTGTTCTCCTTCTGCAATTTTTGTGCATCGTACGGGGAGTTTGTTTTCATTGATCATTCAGTTTTCTCGTCGTAGTAACATGTGGCGGGATATGTAGGGTTTCAGGATTACTTTCGGGAGTTCCAGTGCTGCTAGAATTAGACTTCGAGCCATGTTTTGAGTTTAGAGGGGTTCAGGGCTTGCAGATAGGCAATCGAGCCGCCTGCCCCGCCCTGCGCCGGTGCGCATTCCTCTGAAGGGTCAACATAGAACAAAGTAGAAATGAAAGCAAACAACCCCAGCAACCAATGCTGCCAAACAAGTCATAACTTGAGACTTTGCCAGAAGCCACAATTGAGTGCCGACAGCGCACACTAAGCAGAGTCGATCTCTGGCACACTGTACAACGTGCAGGTTGTGGCACAGGTTCTCTGGCCAATCACGATCGGCAAGGGCATAGGCCGGCTTTCGGCCACCAACTCCATCATACTTTGACAGATGTTGATACTGCTTCAGGGTGTGCCTGCACATGTCGGGTTAGTAGGTTCTATTGTACTCAGGGAGTTTCCGCTCATTATCTTAAGAACAACGGCGAAAGCCACAACAAACCAGGAAGGCAGTTCCAAGTGTTCAAAAGAGGCTTGTTGGTGGAGACGGAGGGAGTGGAGCTCAGGTAACTGCCCGCTAAGCCTGTGAAAGAATGGAGCTTCGTTCCTCACATGCTTGGGGCCTGACACGAACAAGCATCCTTGTGAGTCCTTGTGTGATGAGGTCTTGTGCATGGAAGCTTCAGTTGCCGTTGCATTTATGGATCTGAGCTGCCAAAAGAGATCGATCCCCGCCTGCCGACCTCACAGCTGTTTCAAGCAGCTCGGCAGAGCCAGGCAAATAAAGAGATGCCTGAAGGGTATGGTAAGCTGCCTGAAAATGCCACGCCGATTTTGGCCTGCGGGCTCAGACTGCAAAGGTTTAGGACGTTGAGGGATGCTGATGAATCTCCGGGAATGTTCGTGAAGCGCAGTTCTTCTGAGGAGGGTAGCCCAGGCCTGTTAGTCCCAGGATGCCCAACTGTTCTGCGAGCCCTGCGCCAACGAAGCTGCGTGCTACCATCCGCAAACTGCATCCGGAATACACCTTTCCCCAGAGCCTTAAACCCTAATGACCACCTAAACCCTACTGCTATGTCTATGTCCCCGGAATCTCTGAGGATGATGATGATGCAGAAGCAGAACACGAGCAGCTCTTGCCCCCTGGGTTTCAACACTGTTTCAAACTGTCAACTGGACCTACGTGACAATCCTTATGGATGCAACCCTAAATGGGTTCATGGAGCGAGACTAGGCCTTCTGTTGTCACGTGTGGTCTACGCTCACTACCGACTACTGAGACCTGCGATGGTGTCTTTGAAGACCCTAGTCAGACAAAAAGGCTACACAGGGCGACATCGAGAGATTCGCAGACTTCCTAGGTCATGTTGCTGACCAAGGCTCAACCCCATCCGACATTCGCAAACAATCCTGGGCAGAGCTTTCGGAGGATCTGCTGACAGACAGCTCCTGGATGGCACTTCAAGCAGGGTTAGCCATTACCAGGGACCTGTGCAGCCCCACTATGGTCCGGAAAGCCAGAGCATCAGAAGCCCGCTCCCGTTTCCCGGTTTCCGAATCAGCCGTCTCCTGATTTCCAATTCGGCCTTCCCGGTTTCCGATACAAGTCTGGTTTGCGATCTTTTCCGTTTCTGGTTCCCGATTCGGCTTTGGTGTCGGATTCAGCCGTTCTGGTTTCCGAATTTTTCCATCGACCGTTAACGTGTCCATCATGTCCGAGAATCCCGTTTGACTGAGCACGTGTGAGATCTGTAGTAGCACTTCATCCTCATCCTCACACCCCCGCCCCCCCCCCCCCTGGCGATTTGTTGTCAAGCAGAATTCAGGACGAGTCATACTCCCGTTTAACGAAACGCTGCCTGCTATGATGTTGGGAGCCTGAACTGCTCGTCTCGTGCAAAAAGTCCTGACAGCTCCAGGGCTCCGCAAGAAAACCCCGCCCACCCCCCCCCCCCTCCCCCCCGTGTCAGGGATCGATCGCCACCCATTCGTCTGCAGAATCTTTGCAGCATCGTCTTGATGATCTGCTGAATCACTGAAGTCTGCTGTGAGGTGAGCCAGGCAATTGGGCGGAGGACAACTTGCCACCCCGGCACCATTGAGCTCTTTCAGGTGTCAATTCTTGAAGCTCCAACAAGATGGAGATGTGGGGATTTGCGAGAGACTCGGGGACGCCCAATACAGACCCCCAAATAGTAGGATCCCCGTATAATAAGGACTCCAAGAAGGTACCCCTAATATTGCAAACCCCCATATCGTAAGAAGGCCTTTGCAACTGCGGAGGGCAATTTTAGGGCCTGAGCCTCGTGGAGGTCAGGGCTTCATGGGCTTTGGCGTGTTGGTTTGATTCGTTTGACATTGCAGTTGCAGAGCCCTGGGACCCTAGGGCCCTAGGGGTTGTGGGGCGTTTGAGGCTTCGGGATTGTTGTTCCTGGCTGAGCACTTCGCCAGGCAATCTCCAACGCCGGTGGCAGCACCAGAGGAACAGCAGACCAAGAGTGTGTCGCCCGCCGCGAACAGTTGTGGATCCTTGTGGCTGCGCAACTTGTAGGGTCCGGCTGTGTGGTTTCTTGCTTCAAGTGGTGGCATGACGTCTGTGCAGACAATCGCGCCCGCGTCACAGGCGTGTTGCTCTGGGTTGGTGTTTGGCACGCCTGTCGTCCCAGTGGCTCCTCAGGACTCAACGCACGTTTTGTCCTCAGAGCCCCACATGTACGGCAACCATGTTCAGCTTCGGCATTCCTGTGTGCCTCGGCTAGCACACAGTGGCAATGGGTCGCCACACTTGTGGTGATGAGCGTATTGGAGTCTTCCCAGTTCAAAAAGTATCCTCTTTGCCCACGATGTATATGTCGCCTCAAACTTCGCACAGCCGCATAGCCCCCTGCCGGATACGCTACGAGCTGTAGTGTGAAGCAGTGCTAAACATGGAAGCAGTGAGTTGTGGACACCACAGGCCAGACCCCCAGCACCCTCAAGACTGCTCAGACTGCCAGGATTGACATTTCCGGCCTCCCGCAAGCTCTTTGCAACAACAACTGTGTGGAGGCCACGGGATGCGACGGTGTATTGGGGTTGTTCTTTCTAGGAATCCAGTGGTCCAGGTTTAAGCTAGGGCAGCTTTCGATGGTTGATCTCGAGACCTAACAGCTTTTAGTTTACATGGTTGACAAGTCGAGATGAGAAGATCAGCATTGTGAAGCTGTTTTGGGTGTGTTTGGAAGACCGTCATATGGACGAAGCCTGAGAATGGCCAGGGCGGCTAGGGCTTCGGTCTTGCCTGAGGCGATGCTCGAGCAAGCCGGCTTTGCGAATGTGGTCTCAAGCTTCCAGACCGACGAGGTCGGTGCCGTGCGAGTCTTCCTCGTGAGCTGGCCAGCAGCCACGCACTGTCCCTCGACTGAAGGATGTGGTTGGGAGGAAGGTCGGGCTACTGCTGCAAGGGCTTAGCTGATGAGAAGTAGAGGTTGCATCGGAAGATTCAATCACCCGGAGGAGGCAGACCCCAATGCCAAGGCCCAACCGCCCCCCCAAGGCGGCACAAGTTATCAATTCCCTGTTGAAGCCCTGCTCAGAGCATGGCCCGAGGCTTCGAACACTTCAAGATGCTCGGCTTCCTTTAACAAGAACGTGGCCGCTGGTTTTCTTGACCCAAGAACATGTGTCCGAAGGCAGAAAATTCCACACCCATGTCTTTCGGGTTCTGTGAGATGACCTGAGTGCTTGTTTATGCGAGTCAACTGAGGAAGAGTTGCAGCTTGCCTTGCATGTTCAGGTCTGTGTACGGAAGGGGCCTTTGCATATTGGGATTCGGGAATAAGTGACAGAGACACTGTGGCCTTATTTGCACAGCCTGGGGTGTCAAACCACCCTTGCGAGTTGTGATGCGAGACTAAAGTCCAGGCTTGTTTGGACTTGCATGTCGTGCCAGTAGGTCACAAATTGGCTGCACAGGCTTTCAAGAAGGTTGGCCAGCCCCTCCAATTCGTGTTCATATGCCGAGCATCAAAGGCTGGTCCGGAGATCCACTCCAGATTTCCATGGGCCTCGCGATCCCGCAGCAGGCGGCGCAGCAGGAGATGTCACTTGGTGTTGCAGCGCCACGTGAGACGCAAGTCCGTGGCGGGAGTCGCAATGCTGATAGAAACTCATTCTACATAGCTGGCACAGCGGCTGCTTCATCACAAGGGAAGAGTCCTGATGGTCATGCACAATGTAAGGCCTGATTGAGTGTCTGCACGATGTGTAGCATGGACGAGGCACACCACAAAAGGGAGATCACTAGAAGATTCGGGAGACCACGACAAAACGCAGAGGTGGTTGCCCACACCTGTGACACCTCAGGTTCTACAACGGCGGCGATCACTCTTATTTCTGCGCAGCTCCTGTCGTGAGTTAAAGGCCTGACACATGGCCTGCGCATCAAGAAGTAGTCAAGGTGCACCCCGGGGGCCCCTCAACTCAAAGAGGGGTCCACATCGTTGCAAAGATGGTGACTGGATCTGGTGGGAGCTGCTGCAACTCTGATGTTCGCTTTTGACTCTCCGGTTGAGGTTACTTTTTGCTGGCCGGTTGGGCCATACTCTACACTGCTTCACACTGCGTACACAAGCCTCTTGAGGCTTTCCGGAGTGGCTCCTCACAGGTCCAGGCACCTCAAAAACAGAATCTTCGGTGGGCATTCGTTTGGTGATGTAACAACGTAGGCCGATGGCAGAAAGGCCTCAGGCGCCATAGCCAATTCTACTTGACGGCCCTAGTGGACGGACCTCGCTACCTTAGCCCATATCCTGCTTTTCAGCTTGTACGGATGCCAACGGCCGGGGTCGCACCGCCATTGATGTGATGATACAGAGATGGGAGAGGTGGAAGCCAGAAAGTGTTTTTTGCACGAAAACGCGAAATGCATGTATGTAAAGGTTCTACATCTCGCCTGTAAGCCATGCATGGCATAGCGCACATTATAGCATCTCATGGCAGTGCTTAGTCGCTGTGAATCACGCCGCTCTCGGCCTTTTCTCTCCTTTGAACACATGTCAGCGCAAATTCGAGAGGGTGAGGTCGCGAATGCCCTTTGGCGCGTCCTGGCCAGCCATCCAGCACTTGTGCGGCACTTGAGTTGTACCCAGATGCCCACGCAGAGTGCGTGCGCGACCTCGGGGGAGCGGCCTTGGCCGAGGAAGCCTATCATAAATAACATACATCCATTCAGGGTCGGTCCAATGAGGTTAGTAGGTTGACTTGCGGAGCTATCCAAACAGTGTTTTGTGCAGAGGGTTCAAGCCCGAGGCGCGATACCCCACTCTGAGTGAACTGATGTCCCTTGCGCCAACCCAAGGCAAGGACCAGCACGTTCGAGCCCCCCCGCCCCTCCCCCGTTTCCTTTTTCGACACTGCCTACTTAGTCCGTGATGTACATGTGCTTTCTTAAGGATTCTTACGAAGACTGCGCCTTCCGTGAACCGATCGTGTGGAGATTTGTGTGCGATCTCGTCTTCCGGGGCACAACTTCTGCGGGGCCTTGCCGAACTGTTTGGGGTTCACGACGACACACTGCACAGGGGAGTTGAATTGACTATGATTGCCTTATGCTACCTGCCGTTTACGGCCTAAGGCATTATGGGTTGCTTACAATCTAGGAGAGGCATTCTCCCTTGGTGCGGTCTGCCCGTGCCCCACTGTTGCGTCCATGTTGGCAATCGATTTCCAGGTGTCTTTGCCGTTTCCAAGTTGCTGGTTTAGATCATTCACTGTCCAAGTTCAACCAAGATTTCTGAAGTCCATGAGAGAATAAAAGATGAAAAAGGCTTCCGGCGCTGAGCATTGAAGTGTCACACCTGGCTGCGGGATATTACTCATACCGATTGTGGGTGAAGGAGTAGGATGAGCTTGAAGTGCGTTTCTGGTTCGCAGGCTTCAATTGCATCATGCTCCCAAGAATTCCTCGTCTGCGTCGTCAGAATTGTGCTCCTGGGCACCGGTCATTGACCTGAATAGAGCTCAAGAAGCCCCCCCAAACCCCCCCCGCCCCAACCTTCAGCACAACATAGAAGCCGCTTCACGCCCAAGGAGCTTCTTTGAACAGGAGGGCCCAAAACGTTGGCCAGGCTATGCCCTCCTGCGGAACTGGTCGAGCCCCATTCAGGCTGCTGCGGGCTAAGCTGGCTTTCAGTTGTGCAGGGCACACAGTTCGTTCGTGTGTTTGGTGGTGTCCCAGCTGTTTCTTCAGGGCTGATGGATTGCCATGCCAAGCAAGACGACAAGCCGAGGCAATTCTGGTTTCACATGCCTGGGACGATGTGTTCACAGATCTGCTATCGGCTCTGAGCGGACCTTGGTGGGAGGAGAGGGAAGTTAAATAGTTAAATAAGGGCTTGTAAATATAACCTACTTTTGGCAGTCTGCCTAGCGAACGAGAGTCATGAGTCATGAGGGGTTCTGGTCTGGGGAGGTGTGGGAAGGGGACTGTTAGTGTTGGGCATATGTAGCTTCAGATAGCAACAGTAATCAACACAGAGTCAAGATTTGTCAAGATAGCTCAAGGGCGCGAAAAACATATTGTGCCAGAACGCATCTTCATGTCTGGTTTCATTTGCTTGGTAGGCCAGTGGTACCCTTAGTTTTTTTGTTTATGGTTTCCCTTATAAAATAACCAACCCAAAAAAGGGTACCCTTATCATAATATGGTTACTGGGCGCACTCCACTGACACTATTGCTGGCCGGGAGCAATGTCGGCTTCCCAACCTCCATTTGCTTGCAGGGTATACACTCCCCGCCTCTGTCAGGCCTTAAGGCTGGAACGGCCTTGTGAGGTTAGGGGGAAACCGTCGCATCCAAACACAAACCTAAAGGGACTCCCTTGCCAGAATAGCCATGAAAACAACTTGCTATCAAGCAGTTATGCCTTGCTGTGCCTGAAGACAATTCACTCGCCACCGATGTGCGGGCGTAAGCCACGAATGTGCAAGTAGAAACCACGAATCGGTGCAAAACCTCCACTGCCTTGAAGCTCAACGATCTAGCTCCCTGGCTGTTCATTGCTGGAGAAGCAAGGGTTGCAAGTAGGATGCACAGCGCTGGAACAAGGCAGGGTTAAGCCACGCCTGACTAGTCCCCCGGAGATGTCATGATCCTTGTTCGGTCGGGGTACAACGTACTGCTGGTATTCAGACACCAAGGTCTGTTTCAGAACACCAAGGCCCATTGTGGGCGCGGCCCTCTGTGTGTTCGCAAAGCAGCTGCTTACCACTTGACATTCGGGCAAGGGGATGGAGCAGCAAAGAGCAACCAACAAGTGTTGGGCTACTGATATTGTGATATTAGAGTCCGGCCAGCCTTCATCGGATCAATTAAGCGGTTTGCCCTGGACAATGGCCAGGTAGACGGCGCAGCAGGGCCGATGTTGCAGTCCCATGAATAGCCACCCCCTTTCGATTGAACCAATTGGCGTGGCCGGTCCTGTATCGGGGTTGGGACGATCGGGTCGGGAGCCAGTCATTGAGCGACATAGTCTGTTTCAGGCTGGGGCCATGGTCTTCAACTACAAGTTACAAGACGCAAACACAAGAGGGCCCCGCAATTCAGAGTAACTAACCATGGTTCTCGCAATGGACTGGCGAGGTTGCCTCGTGTCTTTGTCATGATCCTGTTGACATGTACAGCAAACGTCTGCCAAATCTTCCGAATCAGGGCTTCCTTTCCAGCAGCTCCATCGCCCGTCACCGCATCTTGAATCTTTCAGGTTTGCCCCCACAAGCCCATGACGCACCTCGCACTACCCCTCTTAGTGCAGGTGGCATCCACAGCCTTGTACCAGTCTGAGGACCGAGCATGTGCGCAGGTGACGTAGAGGCTGTTGCAGACTGCAGTAGAATGAAAGCATTGTATTCTCACAGCTTCGAGCACAACTTAATCTAATCTCCAACCTAAACTGCGATTCAAATTTAAAGTCCAAAAGCGCCGTTTCACCCAAGCTCCTCAAGCAACTGCATCCGAAAAGGACCAGTAGCTTGTTAGTGGGTCCTTTGGGCCCTTGTAGATCAAAGCCCAGGGTCCATGAAAGCAGGAAGCCATATCGCAAATCCTGTGCGAGCCATCTGTACTTCTCAGCCAGGCCAGGCTGTGCTTTGCAACTTTTGGTGCCAAGAAACCAAGCTTTGCCCATGTGCAGAGGTTTTGAAGTTTGGGCGTTCAGAATCTCCAGCCCTTAGCTCTATTCTCGCGGCCCGGTCCGAAGCAGGGATGCCGACCATCAAAACAGACCAGGTCCCGAAGCCCTGAGGACCTAGGCCCTAGGCTAGCAACTTTGTCACGTTGCTCCCCACATGACAGGCATAGCTGTAGTCCCCGGTCGCCCCCTGAGCACGATGTCCGAAGCATTCTCTTACTAC